GCCGACGTGGCGCGCCCCCCGCCCACGCAGCGCGCTGACGCCATTGCGCCGGCCCCGCGCCAGCGCCGCACGGAGCATGCGCCGCAGGCTGTGCCACGTAGGAGGCTGCTGCGACAGCGCGGCGTCGCGGAGAGCGGGGGCGGGGAGTGTGAGGCTAGAGCCAGCCGCGCTCGGCTGGTAGGCGATAGGGCGGGCTCAGGGAGCTACGAAGGGCCCGGCATAGGGTGGTGCCGCCTCAGGGAAAGGCCCAGCCGACCCCTCGATAGGCGGGAAGGCGGCGGGGTGCGGAGCCGCGCCGTGCAGGGTCCCCGGCGCCTTCCCCGGCCGTAAGCCAGCGCGGTCCCTCGGCCCCGTGCGACGTGCACGCAGGCCGCCCGCCTCGGGAAGGCAAACGCTGGACGCCACCTTCGGCAGCAGAGGTGGCCGGAGAGCTTGGAAGCCTCCTTTCTCATCCCAGGCCAGCCTGTCTGGGCTTCATCCAGCCCCCTCGTCGCGGGCCACAGCCAGCCAGGTCCTTTCGCGCCTGACGCAGCCGACCCCGCTCCTCCCCCTAAGCTCTGAGGACGTCATCTAATTCTTGGGCCATCAAGGCTCTTTGCCCCGTTGGCTGGGCTGGCTTCTCTTCTAAAATTTCTAAGTATTTATCCCAAGGCTCATCATGTTCCCTCTTTCCTAGACTTTGCAAAGACAGGGTAAGGTTTCTGGTGCTGTGAAAATGTCTGCCAGTGGGTAATTCATCAGGAACAAGCATGGAGGCGGCTCAGGGTTCTGCAGACCAGGAGTGTAAGGGCATGATGCTGGAGTCTGGTTTGGGCCTTGGCGCTTGTCATCCTGTTGCAGGCTGCTGAGTTAGATAGAAATGTTCTAGGCAATCAGGTAAGGCTGGCCCTTGACGGAGCCAGTGTGCAAGACAGTGCGACTGTGGAAGAGACAGGCACTTGTGCTGTGGGCCAGACCTCAAGAGATTGAACAGATGAACCCGCACACCTCCTTAGGGATTGGACTTCAGGGACTGATATTCTAAATAGGTCACTGTCACCTTGAGAAATCCAGGAAGAGTCACTAACCCAACCCCTGCAGGGAAAGCCTGCTTTGCATTCACGTCTCTTGCTACATGACTTGCTTCCACATTTGATCCCTATTTAATCAATTTTACCTGAGCAATTATGCTTGTAGTCTTACTGGTTGACCATAGTTTTGTCCCACCCTGCAAATTCTCATGTTCCCACTTAGGACCTGCCTCAACTCATGGATTTGCTGTATAAAAATCCTTGGAAAAGAGGTTCTTTGGCAACCCACTCTGGGCGCTTGCACTCTCTCGCTCCGGTTTTCTTTCCCCCAACAAATACGTTCTGCTCTTAAATCTCTGTTGTTCCTAAAATTCATTCTTTGATGTTAGAGAACAGAGGCTCATGCCAGATGTCTTTCAGGTTAGGAGTTCCTTTCCTCTGTATCAATCCCAGGGTAGAAGGCAGCAGGACACGAGGACAGAACACGGTAGCAGGAAAGAGCAAAGAGCGGAACGTTGCTTTTGTATCAAATCTACTCTCGGGCTAACTCATTTCTTCAGTAGCAACATCAGTGCATTCACGAGGGTCATAACCTAATCACCTCTCATTAGAACCCCACCTCCCAACACTCTTGCACTGGGGATTTGGTCTTCCACCCATGAACTCGGAGGGATACACGTAGGCCATAACAGAGGGCCACATGTAGGCCCAAATATTTAGTCCGTTTGCTTGTAGATGCCAGGTCTGCAAACCTGTTTCTCCTTGGTCTCGCCGTTGAATTCCAGGCTTACATGTCCCACTTGCATATGTATGGATATCTTCAAGGGAGTGCTGCCCAAATCCCTGCATCATACAGGGCATATAGCAGTGCACATGCTGCCAGTGTACACTGATCTTGCAGCCCCCCCCCCCGTATTTCTGTACCACTAACAGCTGTTGGCCAAGAAACAGTAATGATAAAATTTTCATTGTCTTGCACCCACACAGAAATTTGCAGACTAGGGACCAGCAATTTAAAATCTTGGAATCAATGGTGGAGCACTCCCTTACACCTACCCCTCCCCTAGCTGGATGTTGAACACGAATCCTGCGTGTAAAACAAGCTCAATACCTCCAAGGCACACCCCAGCCCTGGAGTACCCTTTTAAGGGACACTGCGTCACTAATGCTCTTGCTGGAGCATGATGAAGGGATCTGAAGATAGTGATTAGGATTTTGAATTCAAAAAGCTTTGAGATAACTTAAGCAGTTAATATTATGCATATTTTTCCCTTTTATGTATGTGCCATATGGCTAAAAACTGGTATATCAAGTCTAAACAGTTTCTAAGAAATAAAAACATTTTAGGTTGCTAAAAAACATTGTATCACAGTTTATAATTGCAATAATTTTTTCCCTTTGGAGTGCATAAAGTTGCACGCATTCACCCTGGCATCTAGATTCTGTAGTAGAGCATCGTTAGCAAATGCTGGGATTCATGAAGAGCTTGCTCGCCCTCCCTCCCTCCCTCCCTCCCTCCCTCCGTCCGTCCGTCCGTCCGTCCTTCTTTCTTTCTTTCTTTCTTTCTTTCTTTCTTTCTTTCTTTCTTTCTTTCTTTCTTTCTTTCTTTCTTTCTTATGAAGAGCTTTCTGAAGGAGCAGAGCCACTCAGATTCTGGTGGCCCCAGGCACTACTGAACTGGCTTGACCTGTGAGATGACTTATCTTTGCCCATGACCTATTTCCCAGGAGTACACTTAACACGGCTGCATTTTCCCCTCCATTTCTCTCCACCACCACTACCACCACCATTATCTATCTTATTTTGCTCTGTATATTTTGAATTTCTCATAGAAAACATGCAATATTTAAGCTTTCTGTTTTTATGTTCCCAACCTGCCCTGTATGATATGGCCACCTCACTTGTTTGCAGATGCCTGCAACTCACTTCCTGGTTCTTCATCCAGGCCACCATCTTGGGCACTATGTTTCCCTTTCCTGACTGACCCACCTTTTCCCCAAAGTCATGGGACCTGCCCAGCCCTATTAAAAACCTACAGTTCTGATTCTCCTCTTGCCTGTGAAAGCCTATAAAAGCCCAAGACCACCAGAGGGCAGGCCCTGGCTTTTTTGGTGGCAGCTAGCTTGGCCAGGAGTGCTGGTGTAAAATAAAGTTGTTCGTTTCCTCCAAATCCTGGGTGTTGGTTTGGTGTTTCTGCTTGCTGCCGCATGCTTACTTGGGACAGCCTAATGTGACAACATGTCCAGTTTCACGTGTTCACATCAGAACCCCAGTTTTACCCACCTGCCTCCAAGTAGCTTCCCTCATAGGATGGAAACCAATCTATTCTGCAGTGTGGAATAATCCATCTACTCAACAGCATTCCTGCTGAAGAACATGCTGTTAAGGAAGTAAAAAACTTGTTTTAAAAAGCATGTATATACAGTATTTTTGTGTTAGTACATGTTTGCAGTACGTAATGGTTACATTGCGGTTACTATGTGCACATAAGACATCTAAACTGTTTGTGTTCCCTTCCCCACCCTTTGCTTTTGCCTGCAGTTTCCCACCATTTCTCTCCACCACCATCACCACCACCATTATCTATCTTATTTTGCTCTATATTTTGAATTTCTCATAGAAAACATGCAATATTTAAGCTTGAGTGATGTATTGTACTGAACAGTACGGTCTCAAGGTGCCTCCATTTACCTACCAATGCCTCAAGTTTATCCTTCTTTGTAGGCCGGAAGTAAGCACTCCGTTGTGTATAGCGGCACATTTTCATGGTCCATTCATCTGTTAATGGATACATGGCCCACTTCCAAGATACAGTTATTGTGAGTCGTGCTGCTGTAAACATGGGCATGCATATATCACTGTAATACGATGATTAAATCTCTTGATACCTAGGGGAATAGCTTGGTTGAATGGAATTTGTATTTTTAGTTTTTTGAGAAATTTCCATACTGATTTCTGAAATGGTTGTACTAATTTATCTTCCTACTAATAGTGAAGGAAGGCTCCTTCAATTTGTTATCTGATTTCTTGATGATAGATATTCTTTCTGAAGTAAAATGGTATGTCAATGTTATTTTAATTTGCATTTATCTAATGGCCAGAAATGCTGAACATTTTTTCATGTATTTGTTGGCCATTTCTATTTCTTCTGAGAAGCATCTGTTCATTTAAGTTGCTCATTTTTGGTTGCTCTTTTTTTTTTTTTTTTTTTTTTTTTTTTTTTTTTTTACTTAGGGGATGTCTTACTTTATTGAGTTCTTTAATGTTCTGGATATCAATCCTCTGAGAGATAGCTGGTAAATTTTTTTTCCATTCTGTAGGTTGTCTCTTCACTCTTCTCTCTCTCTTGCTATACAGAAGTTTTTAAAATATTATTTCTTGTGCAGCTGAGGTCCATCCAGAAAGTCCTTGCCTGTATGTGTGTCTTCATGAATTTTATCTATTTAATCTTTCAGCAGATTAAATGTTTCTATTTGACTATTTTTCTGCTTTGTCCATTTATATTTTAGTTTAGTACCTGGTGAGAAATATGAGTCATGATTCAATTTTCTGCATATTTATAACCATTTTTCCCAGCACCATTTATTGAGGAGGCTGGCTTTCCTACAGTTCAAGTTTTTGGCCCTTTTGTCAAAGACCATGTAGCAGATTGTGCTAAGAGTTTGTTCTGAGTTCGCTAGTCTGTTCACTGATCCACCACATCGTCTTCATCTCCTCCTCCTCCTCCTCCTCCTCCT